CTACAAGTAATTAGATACGTATAATATACGGTTGTGGTTGCCACGGCGTTAGAGAAAAACAGCGTGAGGTAACCCTTCTTTTTCTTTGTATGTATATATGTATATATATATATCTATGTATGTATATCCTCCTTATGTACCCTACTACCTTGGTTCTTCCTCATGAACAGCGTGCGCGGACGCGGCGATATCGCACAGCCTACTGTAGGCTGCTGTGGTTCGAAACTAGCAGAGCTTTTCTCAATATTTTACACGTGAGTAAACAGCGATGTTTAGTAAATTTTTTGACTTAGATGTTTAATTGACTGCACGGTTGGTGCGGTGGCTGGGCAACTGGCTGCCGCGCAACGTGTCGCGGGTTCGATTCCCGCACGGAACAACTCTTTGTGTGATCCACAGATTGTTGTTCCGGGTCTGGGTGTGATGTGCATGTGAAATTGTATGTTTGTAAACGCACCCACGACATAGGAGAAAATGCCAGTGTGGGGCAATGTTAAAAAAAAAATTAAGAAACGATGTCTTCTTCTTTAGCAATGGCCTATTGACCTTGAACTCTTACACATCTGGCGAACACCTAACGTTTTACTGACACCACTGCTTAGCCCATAGGAAAATAGAAATCAAATTGTCACTATTGTTATGTAAAAACCATTTATAGAGTAGCTGCCATCGTTAAACAGATTTAGCATTTTATAGCGACGCCATTTTGAATTTTATACAAAACAAAAATTTATGCATGTACATGATCGAATTAAAATATCAATTGGAATAAAACTGTGTTTTAAAACATAACTACAAAAGTACCTACTGAAATATAAACAGAAAAAGTTTTTATCGGATATAATAATATCTACTGCACGGTTGGTGCGATGGCTCGGCAACTGGCTGCCGTGCAACGTGTTGCGGGATCGATTCCCGCACGGAACAACTCTGCGTGATCTACAAATTGTTGTTCCGGGTCTGGGTGTCATGTGAATATGAAATTGTATGTTTGTAACCCACGACACAGGAGAAAATCCTAGTGTTCAACGTTTAAGTGAAGATAAAAAAAACTGACCTTAGATATTATTACACGAATTTGCCCTACTGTTTCACCATCTTCAGCATCGCCAGCCTATAAATGCCCACAGCCGAACAATTAAGCAAGAACTTAAAAGTGTGAGAATGTGCGAAATTATAAATAGAACTCTATGACAATAATTTGCAAAACAGTTAGAAAATGATCATTATTCCAGAAATTACCCTGATAACTTAACTAAGCCCTGCACTGAACTGTCATACTCACAACCACTGAACCAACAAGATTTAATCGTTATTTTTAAATGTCGTGAAAAATGTGCTTTGGCAATATTTATTTTGCATTTAATAAATTATTCATAAGAGGCAGCCCTACGCTCGCAGGAGTATCGCACAGCGTGGCAACTCTTGCGCATATCAACACAATGCGAAGAAGTTATTACGGTTTGTAAGTATGTTGGGGTCGGCAGGGAGACAAGTACTGACATCCAGCCAATATACGATTAATGTAGCTTCGAAGAATAAAAATAAATTATTTTTTATGAATTCTTTTACGTAAGTATATTTTTTGTGTAACTACACAACTTGACTTAAAAACCCATGTTCCATATATGTATAGAAAGTACACAGAAGATAAGACCTATCAAGATGGATCTTGGTGTGATCAGGTGAGCAGCCTATTCTATAAAAATAAGTCTGGGGCTCCAAGCATCATCTTGCTTAACGTCAGTCCTACGCTTAGCGCTTCTGCAACTACAGTGGGATTTTAGCTCAAGGCTTGCTTGGGAATATTGTCGGGTCCGCTTCGAAGCGAATGGCCTATCATTTTGTTTTCCATTTCCAGTTATTAAAAATCAAGGGACGACGCGAAAAACCGAAGTTTCCGACAGAACCTTACAACTGCATACCCGAGTTCAAAACAACACCAACTAGCTACCTAACTCAAACATCGTTCAGAAAAACAAACCCCACAAAACCATCAGCAATTAAAACAAACTACACGTGACAAGACACGTCCTCAAAAAACCCACCCATTCACGACGATTTCAAAGAAAAATACCACGTCACGGTGTAAAATTATTTCAGGACTAGACATTGATGAATTACATGCAGATATTCTGAATATTTGAAGGCTATATCTATAAGGTTATAGTGACTGTGCTTTGTTCTATACATAATAGCCGAAGAACGTTATTATTGTTGGTCCGTAGCTTATAAATTTAGCCCTTATGAGTGAGTGGGTGCATTGTTTTACGATACGATAATAATATTACATTGATAGATGTCTGGCATTTATGCTGAACTGGACCTTTTTGGTGCAGCTGTCGGGCACAACACTGTTATTAGTGTATTTAACATTAGAATTTTTTGTATATCCTACCTACATTTACATATTTTGTGCTCTTTTTTTGTTTTTTTTTTATTCATAGTTATTTTTGTTTGCATTGTATAGTTTGTGCGTTGTGTTGTACCGAATAAATGATTTTTATTCATACATGAATAGTGAACTGTAAGAAGTCACTATTCCACGCAAACGGAATCGCGGGAAAAGCTGGTAAATATTTAAATAAAAATAAATATATTCCCGTTTATACAATGGAACTAAATCCTTCCCGTGATTTATTCCCAACAAGCCAATGTTGTCGTGTTATGAAAATATTTAATTATTATACAGCCATAGTGTTGCAAGACTAAAGGTGACGATTACCCACACGGTAGCTTTAATAAAAAGGGGTGGGTACAAAATGTATTTTTCGTTACTTTGGTGCAATTTTGTGGAGTTAGGTTTAGGTTGGGTTAGAATATGGTAGAAGATTTTTTGTTGAGTGCAAAGTCTAGTGACGGGCTTTCTGGGACTTGGTAAGGTAATTCTTGTGTTCTTTTTGGTTTTTTTGAAATTCTAAGTTATTTCGCGATGTTTGTGTCAGTAATTGTTCGTATATATGGTTATGTTATAGTGGTCCGGAGGTCAAGCCCCCGCTTCTCATGCATGAGGGTTCGAAACCTAGCAAGCACCAATGTGAGTTTTTCCGAGTTAAGTATATGTACTTTGTATGATTATCTAGACACCATTGATATACACTGAAGGAAAATATCGTAAGGACACCTGGGCTTATAATTTTGAATTATTAGTTTGAAATCATCAATCCGCCTTGAGCCTTCTCCGTGTGAGAAGAGGCCTTTGCTCAGTAGTGGGCAGTTATAGGCTGATGTGTTAGTGATGTATTGTAATATTTATTTTATTCTCTTCATAATAGGCCTTATGAGCGAATAACATTAATATAAGCTATAAGACTAACATTGTGAGAGACCAGAGCCTGAAGTAGGTTTTTGACAAACCTGTGTTACAGGTCTCTGGGGCCCTCCCATACCTAGTATCACAAACTTATAACGAGCGGTAAACAGAGCTATACTAATTTTAAAACAAACAAACAAGAAAAAAAGTTGGACGTAATAGAATAATTCCTGTGCAAAAAGTACGTTGCGTTGTTGTTTCAGAACATTTCAGGTTTTTAAAACAATTATGTTATTTTTCAGTAATACATTTTATTCTAAATTTATTCAAAACTAGCTACTTTCACGCGGTTTCACCCGCGGCTCCATTTAATCGTAGCGTGATGTTTTATAGCCTATAGCACTCAGGCACATTATAGCTAACTATCAGTGAAAGAATTTTGGCAATCCGACCAGCAGTTCTAAGATTACCCCCTACATACAAACTTACAAATTTTACCTCTTTATAATATTATTATAATATATAGTATAGATCTACATCAAAATAAGTTGGCCGCGCGACGTCCCGTGACGTCGCGCCACGTCGCCGTGACGTCGTGCGACGTCGCTGTGACGTCGTGCGACGCGCACGCTGTTCATAAATAAGAGTCCCCAGACTTATAACTAGTAGAGTTTTTCTCAGTTTATACACGTGAGATCTTCAAAAAACAGTGATGTTATTGCTCAATAATATACCTACTTAATTCTATTAATTTGGTTTTAACTTACTTCCATTATATTCAAGAATTTTGAAACACAAGTCACTAAACTCATATTTGAATAGAAAACCTTTCTTCTCAAAACCTTCTTTTATAAAAAAAAAAACATCACATTTTTTCAAGACCTAATTTTTTCGACAAACGACCGCTTCCATGCATTATGTTGGCCATTACCAATTCGACTGAGAAATTACCGCAAAGCGGCCAAATACCTAATTGAGTGGAAATTTTATTTAAGAATTTTAATGGCGTAGACACGATGTTTTAATTCGAAAATCTAGAATGTATTTCTTTTAGTCAATTTATTGTTTTTATATACAATTTAACTAGTTTAAAGTATGCGTGTCCTACTAACATTATGAAATTAAGATTGTGACAATCTAAACTAATATTATAAATTCGAAAGTAACTCTGTCTGTCTGTCTTTTCTTCACGCCTAAACTACTGAACTGATTTCTGTGAAATTTGGTACAGAGGTAGTTTGGAACTCGAGAAAGGCCATAGGATAGTTGTAATACCTAAAATCTGCAGGATGTTACTAATCCACGCGAACAAAGTCACGGGCAAAAGCTAGTCCTACTATAATATTATAGAATGTAAAATTTGGTGATAACTTTTGTATTCTTTCATGCAAAAACTGCTAGACCGATTTGGTTGAAATTTAGTATATATATAGATAGGATAGGATAGGTGATACCCTACAATTACACATAGGCTACTTTTTATGAACCACGCGAGCGAAGCCACGGGCACAAGCTAGTATAATATATATTTTTCTACTCTCTTTTAAAAAAACTGTGAAAATAGAACAATCAACTATTTATATTCTAATTATAAGTTTCGAATCGCCAATCTGTCTTGAGCAAGCGTGGTGATTAATGCTCTAACCTTCTCTCTTGTTGTACATAAAAAAATAAAACACATTCAGAAAGACTTGAAAAGGAACTTTCACATCTTATAAATAGAGCTGATGTTACGATACATTCAGAATTAATATTCGCTATTGTACTCCACATCTCCGGAGCCGTGTAAAACATTTTTCTTTCTTCTTTGCATATGTTCTTTATTCACTGCAAACCACGGTTGGTGCGGACCTTTCCAGATTGGTTTGTAATCGTCCTAAAATTAAAATATTATGTATTTTGTGATAAAGACATAGTGTGTTTCACGCCACAGAAATCACGTCTCACAATCAGCCGGGGTTTTGGAGCCAGCGCATTAATGTTCTTCGACCTCAGCCTGAAGCAGAAGACGGAATATCTACCCCAAGGGCGAGAGAAGCATTTTAAAATTTGTCACCGGATTTAAAAATTTCTTACAACACTACTTTATTTCTATTTATTCTATGGCTAAATCTCGTTTTTATATCATAATCATCACCATCAATACCGTTCTTGTATCAGTTACAAGATTTCTACTGATGAACTTAGACCCCCACCAATGACCAGGTCTACTTACAGACAGCAGGCACTTTACCCACTTTTTAATAGATTCCTCTATTACCCTGCATCACTTGCCCACTGCTACGTAAAGGCACATGGAAACGAATCTAAAGCGCGTGGCGCGAGCCTCATAGAGCCACTCCTAAAGCCGATGCCCGACCGGAGTTGTAGATAAAACACAATATCTTTCTACGGCCGGCTTGGTGCAAGAGAGAAGTAGTTTTTAATCGGTAGGAAACTCTCAAACTAACATTCTCTCACTTCAACCATGGTGGGAGAAGTCTTTGTATAATTTTTGTAAACAGTGAAAACTTTTTAGTATAATGTTAGGGAGTAATTAATAATACAGAGTAAATTAATAACCTAAAAACCAACCAGCGCAGACCTTTCCCTTTGAATAGGCAGTTCTTCAGTTTCTTTGATAGAATTAGAATTTTCTTTTGGTCTTTGTTTTGTCCTAGTTGTTCTTGTTGGTGTTTTTTCTATATCCTCCGTCTCTGAGTCCGGATGAAATGCTATGTAGGGTAAAGAAGTTTTCCCTCTCTTCTCGATTATTCCTTTTTTGTTTTGTAATGTAGTGCCTTCTGGACTGAGCTGAAAAGGTCATACGAGATTGATCGAATCGCTGGAAAGGTGGCAGTTGCACCAAGTGATGTCAGCACGTCGATCCTATAAAATTTGTTTGATTTTGAATCGTGTTCGGGTGAGAAGTCAGCGTCGAAGTGACGAGGAAATTAAATTTTAGAATGCCACTTTTAACGTCATTTCATACTTTATCTATCAAAATGATGCTGTCAATTTAGTTCAACTCGCAAGTGTAGCGCTAGTGTACTACTACTCACGACGGATTCAGATTCGAAGTTTAGAATGAAGTCTTACAGAATCACACTGCAGGTCAGATCTAAAGTTTTGTTAATGGAAAGTTTTCGAATTCTAAACAGAAAACTGGCTTGATTCTAAACAGAAAAATGGCAGTAATGATGTACCATAGGTTTAATCTGTCTTCTTAGACAGTTACATTAAACCCAATACTTTCCTCTCCATAGATTAAACCCAATATTTCCCTTTCTACATCCTTCTTCAATCCATAAAACCCCAAAAACCACAATAGATGGCAATGTACTTGAAACTACTTCGGCGTTGCCCTGGCACCAATTGCTTACCATTAGGTAACGATAAAGCTCGATTGCCGACGTCTCACATTAAAAAAAAAATAGTTAATGTTATCATAGCAACGACGACTTATCTAAATACGAAAAAAAACATTCAGAAATATCTAAATTCAATACTCAGTGGTGGCAACAAGGAAAAATGTCTGTAATACACAAAACAGTCACATTCACCACCATCTAACAACCAGTTAATAAAAAAATGCTTAAAAACAATACCTGCTTTGTAGTTCTTCTTGTTCGTCCATATATTCCTCTACCACGTCCAGTTCTGGTTGGAATACGACCTGAGGATAACTCCAAGTTTCCAGAAGGACCCAGAGCTTTAGTCAAAGATTTGTTCACATCATTCTTCCCAAGATACCACCCAAAAGCCATATGAGGTTTTTGGACAGAGCCTATGCGCTCTGGATGGGGGCTTGTTTCTTTTTGACGAGATTTTAACGTGATCTGAAAATTGTGAGTTTGTGGTTTGTCATACTATTTTTTTTATTTCCAAGCTGACAAAGTTATTAGACAGCCGGGAACAGGAGAAAGAACGAAGTGGTTTTTAGTCAGTAAGAATTTGACAACCTCTTTCGCCCAACCCTGGGCTAGAGAAAACAACTGATGATTTTCGCCATGAAAAAAATGCGCAATAAAGTATCGCAGCCCCGCTCAGAGCCGAAGAACGAATGCAGTGATTTTAGTCAGTAAAACACTCTCTCTCACTCCACTCTGGACGGGAGAAAGCCTTAGATGACTTACATCTCCTCAAAAAAGATTGAATAAAAAAGAATCTCGAATAATGACCCCGAGTAGAAGAAGCACACGGTCGAGCAAGAGTATCATAATTTAAGACTATCCTGACTGACCTAATAGATTGACCTAAACTGGACTCACCTGAATTAAACATACAACAATAATCAGAAGTAAAAATCTTTCAGTAAACGACATGCTGTAATAATGCGTTTCAGGCCATGGTTACGCTTCAGAAACTGAAACTTGATTACAAAACTGACGGTGAAATAATTTGCAATTGCTATACACAGTGTGTAGTTAAAAGGTAAAGTTGAATTAAGACTGACTGCTATTCTAACTTTGACTGCAAGGTTGGCGCTGGGCAAACGTGTCGCGGTTCCGATCACCACACAACTCTATGTGTGATCCACAAATTGTTGTTCCTGGTCTAAGTGTGATTTTTATGTAAAATTGCATGTTTGTAAACGCACCCACGACACACGAGGAAATTCCAGTGTTGGTTAACAATTAAAAAAAAATTTTGCTGAAAACTATTGAAAGCCAGTCTTTCACTACCATTGTGTTACGTTACACATAAGGGACGAAAATAATCTAATTAGCTGTCCCAATTATCCCGTAGGGTAGAGCGAGAAGGAGTGTCAGAGTCTTACTGAATGAAAACCACCCTTTTGCCTTTCGTGCCTCAGTACATAATTGCGCAATCAAACCTTGCAACATGTGGTGCAAGGCTCAAATAAAAAAAACCCTCAACGCGAATTAATATACACAAAATAATTAATATATTGTATATAAATAAGCATCGTGCTTATTACATGTTCTGTACTTCCGAAAACTCTAAAACTTTAAACAAACAATTCTTGTAAATCAGGCAATTTATAAATAAATATTCATAGAAATCGGAAACGGCTTTAACGAATTCGATGAAACTTTGTATGTAAAGGGTTCGGGGGACGAAAATTCTAAAAATTCTAGAAAACAAACGTCTCATACTTTAACCTTATCCTAACAACACACTGTATTTAATATTTTAAAACAAATATACTTTTACAGTTTACAGAAAATTGATAAACTTTATCTTGATACAAATAAAGTTGAATTTACATTGCGTTCTATAAATTAAACGTAATCATTATTTTTGTTACTTATATAGTGTGTTTATTTTTTCGCCATGATATTAATTGGCTCTCAGTTTGAGCGTATGTGATAACTATTCACATTACATTATGTATGAGTTTTATAGTAGTTTTAAAATTGATAGAAAACCTTTTTGGGACGAATTTATGTGAGATTTCGGATTGGGTCGGCTCGACCGGAGTGATACCACGACCTCATAGAAAACCGTGTGAGTGAGGTTACCGGAGGCCCAATCCTTCCCCTCCCCCAATCCCTCCTCCATCCCTAAATCTCCAAATCCCTAATCCCTAAAAGATCTGCAAAGCACTCAACAACACAATCGTGTTAGTTACACCATTTATAACACAAGAACGGCTGAACCGATTTAGCTAAAAATTGGCAGGGAGGTATTTTAGAGCCAGGAGAAGGACATAGGATAGGATAGAGTAGGTAGAGTAGGTTATGTAGAGTGGGGTAGGTAGAGTAGGGTAGGTAGAGTAGGGTAGGCAAAGTAGGGTAGGTAGAGTAGGGTAGGAAGAGTAGGGTAGATAGAGTACGGTAGGTAGAGTAGGGAAGGTAAAGTAGGGTAGGTAAAGTAGGGTAGGTAGGGTAAGTAGAGTAGGGTAGGGTAGGTAGAGTAGGGTAGGTAGTCAAATGACGGGAGCGACGCCGCGGTAAGAGCTAGTAGTTAAATAAAACTATAAAGTTCTATTAAAGTAATTTAATTACATTACACATAAAAAACTTATTGTATACATTTTATCCGATCCATTTTCATCCAAAGAAGAATGGTGGTGGTGGCGGCGGAGGTGGCGGGAACACAGGCCCATAATAAGGTCCAAACCCAGGCCCAAATCCAGGTCCAAAACCATGGCCAAAACCAGGTCCAAATCCAGGTCTGTACCAGCCGGGGCCTCCAAACCAATGGCCTTGTATGTTCTGAAATATGAAAAAAAACTAAATGAATACAATTATACCAAATACCATACTCTTCCCATCTCTTCCCAATCCCTAAATATCCGAAACCCTTATCTCCAAAAGACTGGAAACGCACTCCTAATTCCTCTGGTGTTGCGGGTCCGACCATCAGGTAATGCGGTTATTTGATAGCCGACCTATCTCATAAAAAATACAATTATAATGCAATGAATAAACACAGGCATGCTTCAGCACGAGTGGACCAGAAGCGACCAGACTGCATGATATCATTGCTGGGGTCTCTGTTGCCGTGAGCCGGCCATTTTGGGAGTGTGAATACAGTTATCGGAGGTTCAGTCGTCACCTCCCCTGCACATTGTTAATTTTCCCAAAAACACATTAAGCTGATGAATTTGTGAAATATTTGTAACTAGCTTTTGCCACCGAGACTTTGTTCTCGTGGAATAGCGAATTCGTGCAGATTTTTGGTATAAAACTATCCTATGTCCTTTCTCAAGTTCCAATCTATGTCTGTACCAAATTTCACAGCAATCGGTTCAGAAGTTTAGGCGTAAAGAAAAGACAGACAGAGTTATTTTCGCATTTACTTATAATAATTTTTGCTTTGAATTGACTAAGTGAATTTTTAATTTTGGGTACAATTCCGGAACCACTTATTGTGAGATCCACAAAACACATTCTGGGTCTGGTTGCGATGTGTATTTGAAATTGTATACCTATTCATAAACACAACAATTTTATAGTAGAAAGTCGTAGTGTTGGACAACGTCTTAAAAAATGCCGAGATTGATTAAAAATACCTATTGAGGGTTCTCTATTATCTTCTTTATAGGACGTGATCTGAATTCTGACGTCAGAATTACACCGGGATGGTGTAATTCTGACGTCAGAATTCAGATTCAAAGAAGAATGTGTAATTTACATGGTATGGTATTTGCCATACAATTCGATAAAGTTGATTTAGCATTTTGATCATTGTAGACGACAAGTGACCTTGAATGTTAGATCAAATTCCATTGACCGACACTAAAACCACAAATGTCAATTAGCAACTTAAAGTGACAAGTCGATATATAAACAATTGTATGCATACCCGTACATATTTTTTACTAACTATATGTATGTATGTAGATGATCATAACTTTTTGTTATTTGATATGGACAGGGCAATGACATTGTAGTGTAATTTCTTGCTGTGCAAATAATCTACATGTGTACCTAAAAATATGTTTGTAAGTGCATATCTCAAAAACGGCTAGACCAATTTTGACAAAGATTTTTATTGTTGTTTTATTAGTTTTATTGTTTTTATAAAAAAATTGAGTGGTAAATCGTGGTAAAAAACGAAATCTAATTCTATATTCTTAAGATAAGTAATATAAAAGTGAATCACAAAATGTGTTTGTAAGCGCATAACTCAATAACGCCCAGACCAATTTCGACCAATATTTTTGTTGTGGTTTGTAATTGTCTGTAGAGTATTCTTATGAAGGAAATTCCAGAAAAGTAGAGAAGGAAAATTGGTAAATAGAGACTCTTTTATCATTAGCGAGGTGGTTAGACACCTTTGCATTTTGTTGCGAAGAAGGGGCTGGCTGCTAGTTCCTTATTAATAATGAAATGGCAACACTTTTTGACTCTAATCTTTATATACATACATACACACTAACAACTGTTAGGCTGAAGATGGTCGACAATTGTAGGTACCCCTAAATGGGAGAAAGTCATTTTGGATTTTGCTCAAATATTTAGTTATATTTGATCATTATTAGTAAATGCAAGAAGAAGGTTTTATTCTTAGCCAAGCCAAGACTGTTGATTATAACTTCTTTTAATCGGCAAACGAGCTGACGTATTTACCTGATGGTAAGTGTTGAGGGTCGTGTCTGACCAGCCTCGTGTATCAGTTGTATAGGGAACAGGGAGACAAGTGAAACACACGATTGTCCGATACCAACAGTATATTATTTTACTTTGCACCTAGTCTACACACACATTGCATCTTGTACGCGTTTTCATACACACACCTATGCAATACCCCACAGTAAGCAATACGCGGCGTCCATGGACATCCAATCACAACAGAATTAAAAAATGCGTTGTCAGCCTTTTGGGGATAAAGTTTTCGGGTGTTAAGGGATTGGGGGAGCGGAAAGACCTCTGATAACCTCACTGACATGGCGCAAGACAATGCTGTGGTTGTTCATGCTTTTTTTGTAAAGCCCTGGGACTATTCCAGTCGGGCCGACCGATTCGTGCTGAAGTACTCCCACACTTGACCGGGACTAATCCGTTTTTAAGGGGAACTCATCTAATGACTTTTCCATCTTTGAGTGGGGGGAGATGTGGTTGTCTAGTCTAGTAAGTCTACTTTTTTGCCTTTTTAAAATTAAACAACGTTGCCCCACACTAGGATCCTGTGTCGTGGGTGCGTTAACATTATACCTACAATTTCACATACACATCGAACACTGATGCGGAAAACCAATTTGTGGATCACACAGAGAGTTGTTCCGTTCGGGAATCGTACCCGTGTAGTAAAAAGCATTATCACAACATAGTATAAAACAAAGTCGCTTTCTCTGTCCCTATGTATGCTTAAATCTTTAAAACTACGCAACGGATTTTGATGCTGTTTTCTTATTAACCATGTTAAGGTTATAAGAATAATCATAGAGTTTCTTGCTCGTTCTTCTCCATCGGAATCTACACGTTGGAACGAGCAAATAGCTTCACTAGAGGACAGACGGACAGACTGACACGCATAAATTTAAACCTCTTGAAATATATTTTCTTTTTCTATTTTTGCTTGACGTTCAAAACCCACTGTGGCCTAATTAAAATAAATGATTTTGACTTTGACTTTGACTTTATTACATTGATTAAAGAGGAAGGTTTATACGTATAATAACATCCACAAAATGGTGGAGAAATTTGGAACCAGAAATGCACCAATGCGAAGCCAGGTTAAGTCTCTAGAACTAAATAAAATAAAAAAGTATTACACTTACCTGAGCTAAAAAGACGAGGACAACTAAAACAACAATAAAACTATTAAGAAAACCCATTTTTGTTACACTTGCGTCCTTATAGACTAAGAGCTACTGATTTGAACACTCGATCTTAAATGCAATAGTTTTATACAAACGGAATACAAACTTCAGAATACCGTTCTGAAACTATTCAACCAGCCTTATTACGAATGTATTAAGAGTTCAATTTTCTTAAAGAAGATGTATTTTAAACGTGGTTTCCTTGTATAAAATAGTATTGATTTTAACATATATATGAGAAATAGTGTGACTATACATAGTGATAGTTTTTCCTATATTATGTTGATGGTTATTCCCTTACTGTGTCATATGTTGATTTTAATAATTTAGATATAGTATTATGATTAGCAAAAACAGTGCGTAGTTCATTATTTAAGCATAATATGTTTGTTTTCCTGTTTGTTGCCGTATTACTCATAAACAGATCGACCGATTGCGATGAGTTTTGGTACAGAGATAGATTTGTCTTTGGATATATTTATGGCTATGATTTGAGCCTTTTGTTTTTAAGCAACAATTCATGTTCTTACAGCTAAATAATCTCAAAAATCATCAAATAAAAAGTGTGGCGGAGCCATGCTTCGGCACGAATGGGCCCGCTAGACCGGAGTGATAGACCGGCCTGACAGAAAACTGGTGTGACACAGCGTTGTGTATCCTTCTTCCTCCAATCTCAATTTCTGCTAACTATTAATCCCCAAAAGGCCAGCAACGCACTCGTAACTTCTCTGGTACATCGCGGGTCTCTATGAGAGTCGCATCCTATCACAGAAAAAATACTCCTTTTTCTATTCTTCTGCCTCTAGTACTCTAGTATCAGACTCTTACTCTGTTGGTCTCGGTACCTATTGACAATCGACTTACCCTTATACGCCCTACACTGTCTGCTTCTGGTTATCCGGAGACATTCTTTGTTATCACCATTCCAAAAAAAACTACAACGAGTAACTATTTCAACAATCCTTTATTACAAGTCATAAGGTAACACATACAAAAGTCATCAATAAATCAATCCAGTCCATTTTCAACCATAGAAGAAAGGTGGCGGCGGTGGTGGCAGTGGCGCGATTACTGGTCCGTAATAAGGTCCGAATCCAGGGCCAAATCTTGGACCAAATCTAGGCCTGTACCAGCCGGGACCTCCCCAGAAATGGCCTTGTATGTTCTGAAAGTAAATAAAAGAGGATTTATTATGGTTTGCAGTTCATACTGTGGTGCTCCTAGATTAAGATGGTCGCTTCTTATGGGTGAGGGTCGTTAGATACATGGCAAGGGCTTTTTGCGAGTAATATGTACTTTGTAATATTACCACCGATTAACCCCGACTTAGCACGGGATCAATGCTGATATAAAATTTCTCCACTATTTAATGGATGTTATTATACCCACACATAAAGTCCTTTAAGCTTCATTCACTTTGTATAATAAAATATCACGAATCAAAATCCGTTGCGTAGTTTCAACGTTAAGCGTACATAGGGATACATTGACAGAGAAAGCGACTTATTACTTCTATATGCTATGACTTTGTATTGATTTAGAAACTTCTAATATACGTTGTAGATAAACATTGGAAGAAAAGAAACCAGACAACCTTGCTTTTCTCTCGGAATAGACTCTTACTGACTAAAAATAACCCCATTCCTTCTCCTGCTCTAAGCCGAGGTCGCGGTGCCTCATTGCGCTTACCCCGCAACCCCGGTTGAGCATCAGCCCTATAGGGCCCCGTCTATGGTGGTCTATCAGCTCTTTGAGGCCTCCTGCTTAGGTCTGGGACCTCTATATATTATCTTATATATGAGTTAGACTTAAACCATTCCTTAGTAACGATTCTATACCTAGAATTGCTAGATTAAGTATCCATTAAATGACTTTGCTTGTGGCGCTAAAACTATAAAAAAATAATTGTACCCACCTGCGCGAAAAAGAAAATTCCAATTATGACAAGAATAAAAGTGTTAAGAAAAGCCATTTTTAAAACACTAACACAAACTTGCTTGTCAATACACAAATAAAAACCAATTTGAACAACCGAACCTAAATGTATTGTTTATATACAAATGGAATACAAACTTTTATTTACCGTCCTGAAAATATTTAATCAACCTTGTGATAATGGGTTAAAAGTTATAATGGGTTGAAGTAAACGTATTTTAACTTGGTTTTCTTGTATAATATCATTGTATTTATTTTAGCACATATATGAGAAATGGTGGGACTATACATAGTGATAGTTTTTCCTATATGTTAAGGGTTTTCCCTTACTGTGTCATATGTTGATTTTGATCATTAAAATATTGTATGATGATTAGCCAAAACAGTGAATAGTTAATTATAAATGATGTGTGTTTGTTTGTTTGCTTGTTTGTTTCCGTATAACTCCTAAACTGATGGGCCGACTGTGATACATTTTTGTATAGACACAGATTTAACTGTACTCGTAGCAGTGGTCATGAAAAAAATACTTCTGAATAAACCGGTTTCAAATTTTTACGAAGAATTACATTTTTTTAAATGGCGATTTCCGTTCCTGGTATGGTGGTACGCTAACTTATATTATGTCACCCCGAAGAAGTAGATAAGGGCAGTTCTTATACCAACTTTTAACACGTAATGTATCAGAGATATTGTTCTCTATAGCATATATCACGGGGAGTATTCAGAGAAATTGTTCGACTTGATGCCCGCCAAATCTTTTCGCCCGTCTGTCCTACGTGAAAAAGTTTTCAACCCCATCACATACATGGTTGACTGACAACAACTTGCGAATGATTTTTCGGCGGTAGTATTTACTAACCGAAACGACCTTCAAACCTTCAAGAAATTAGCAGAAAGGGTACTCTTCTTAAAAGGTCGGCCACTCGTCTGTGACGTTTCTGGTGCTGCAGGTGCCATGGGCAGCGCAGATCACTTACCATCAGGTGATCTGTATGCTCGATTGCCTCCTAATCTATGAAAAGAAATCAGAGGGAGATGGGAGAACCCTGGGCACAATACAATTCTCCCAAATATTTCCTTTGACCGACCAGGGAGCCTAACTAAAAACATCTTGCATGGGAGTCGCTAATGAGATCGTCTGACCAAAGCGGCAATGACTCACACAAGTAATATTAATGGCACAATTATCAAAAATATGGTGCAAGAATTATTAATTGTTGATGACACACAAAAATAGACCCTAATGCATAAGAGAACAAATAATTCAACAAGGGTTATTTTGCAACCTCAAAAGCGACTGCAATGCCAAAACTGTCAGGTTTTTTCATTAAGAAATGAGAATCGCCCTTTGAACAGATAGAGGTGAATCGACTATGCTAATAAATATTATTGCTAAATGGATAGATCACGGCTCTAACTAACCACTAGGTATTTCCAGAAAACTAGATCTTGAAGATTTTCCTGTTTCGTTACATGTATTTTTTTGATTACGCATAGATCGAGATAATAGGTACCTACATTTCTTTACCGAAGATAACTGAAAAAAATACAATTGACACTCTTTCTTGAAGGACGAAAATAATTTTCCTATTTTATTTGAAAAGGAGGAGGAGGAGGATGGATGAATCAAGAGTGCGTTGCCGATCTTTTGGGGACAAGGGTTTGGGATATTTGGGATTGGGGAGGGATTTGCCTACGGTAACCTCGCTCACCAACCATCAACCAAACTTAATCCATATAACGACTTCTCCCGGCATGGGTTTGGTGACAGGGAGAACTTGACTCTACTGGACTACAAACCACCTGATCGCATTTCCTACCGGCTATTCATCGACCCTATCGGGTCATCACATCTGTGTGCTGTCTGAAAGCTCTTTGAAGCGAGCACTTCTGGTCGGATGGTGACGTACCCTTGCACCCCGTCCGTCAACAGATGATCTCCGGCCACCGTAAGCGCAGGTCTTCGGACAGCGAGTAAGAGTAGCTCGCCGCCCGACCACAACCAGACCCGAGCGTACTGCGCGTAGCGTTTCACAGGCGCCTCAAAGACCCCAATAGACCACCACAGACGGGGACCTATAGGGCTGATGTTCAGGTGGGGTTGCGGGTTAAGCGCAATGTGTCACCGCGGCCTCGGCCCAGAGAAGGAAAAGGAACAGGGGGGTTTTTAGTCAGTAAGAGTCTGACACTCTCTCTCACCTTACCTTGGGCGGGAGAACTCATTAGATGAACAAAAAAAAACCCCGTCTATAGACCATTTTTCGAACAGAGCGCCTCCTGCGGCTGTTAGAACATGAGTATAGGTCAACAAACGAGCAGACGGAATATCCGATGGTAAGCAACATTACCGTTCGAGTCCGTTGCCGGCCTCGTTCCAAAATTTAGATTTAAATATAGAAAACCGATCAAGAAACATTACCATTTGAAAAAAAAGCTGGTCTCTATTAAAGTCATCAAATACTTAACAAAATAGAGTCGAATTATTAAAAAAAAAAATTGAAATACCAACTCCATTCCACCCCTGTACCGAACGAAAACGCAAACAATTAAATAATTAATAATAATTTTATAAAACCACCACCCGCAAGTGTGGTGGGTAAGCAGATATGTTGGTTAACCAATCAATCAATGTCCATCCGCTGGGTTTATGCGAAGGGTTGCAAATTTTAATTATTTCCATCCAAAGAGGGAAGATTTGATTATTATTATTTTTCATTGAATATGGGAGAGCGGTTCGGGTGGCGATTTGGCTGCAGTGATACCACGGCCTCGCAGAAAACCGGTGTGAAACAACGCATGCTTTAGTAAAATATCAAAATAAAACAATTTAAGGTTTAGGAATGGGAGTCGCTTCGTCACCAGGCCATTTTTTTAATATGTAAAACATCGGACGTATTATCTCATGGAAAGCAATCGGCACCATCTACGGAAATTCGCAATAGGAGGTAAGTTAGTTGCCGGCCTTTTGGGGATGAGTTCTTTAGGGGATTGAGATAATGGACGGATGGGGAGAGTGGAAGGATTTCAATATAAAAATATCTAAAAAGTTTATGTAATGTATTAGACAGGAGAAAAAAATATCATCATGCTTATTTTTTTCATACTTAATCCGTTTTTGTGATGTTTGGTGACAGGGCTTTTTCTAGTCAGTGAAGTCTCTTTTGTGCCTTCAGGTAAGCCTTTAGTCATTCTGTCTCTT